ATCCCAAACCCTTCGAAGGCACGGTCGGAAAAACCTGTTTCGCCCGCTAACCCAGGTAAATGTAGAGGGAAACAACTCAATGGAAGGCAGCAACCTCGCCCCCTGGAAGATCAAGGTGGAAGCATTTAAGCCGGAAAGGCAGCCTCGAAAACCCACAGGCCTTTTCAAACCATGTGTGGAGAAAGCCACCATACTCAGGATCCCTATTGTTCAGAACGCCCCCCCCCTGCTCATGTATGTGCAATGCTGCAACGGGAATTCACGGCCATTCGCAGCCAGAATGCCATTCACGGCCCACCGCGTGTCCAACAATTTTGGACATGGACAGCAAAACAATGGTATTTTTCAAAGCGGCCCCCATGATAGGTTAAAAAGAAACCACCCCAGTTGACCTCGATAGCCCCTAGAAATGGTCAACATCTAACCTCAGCCAACCGCTGCCCACGTCTATCTTGGAGAAGGTCCTGTGCGCCAGAAGCCAGCAGGCCAAATGCAACGGCAAAAAACGTCACGACCAAAAGCATGCACGCACACATCAGCCCAAGCCTCGTTCTAGGGAAAAAACAATCCAGCTTGCTTGTTTCCGCTGCCTAGGCCACCGAACCATCTTCTTGCCGGCCGGAGGTCCGTACACTCCGCGGCGGCGCCTTGGCGGCACAAAAGCGCCTGTCTTGCAACTGCAAAATTGCCGTCGCAGACCAACATGAGTTGCGCGCAAACACACATGCAAACACCCAAGCTTGGACGCCCAGCCAGGCTGCATCACTAGCTGCCACATTTTCCTTTGTTTTGACTAAAGCAATAGAGTTGCATCGAAAAACTGAAGCACGCTGACCGTCAAGATGACACACGCGCCAATATTCATTCATTCCCAGCGCGCGTCCGAAACGGCAACCTTGCAGTGGAGGGCCCGAAGACATTTTCGATTCGTGGTGGCTATTGCCACCGGACGCAAAGAAGCCGCCAGAACGCGTCTAGCCCTGCCTCACCTGAGCATCAATCGCAAGTCTGGCTCTTGGCTAATCAACGCAGGCTGCGCGCGCCGAGCCGTGCTGGCCCATGCTCCCTGGAGCGCCCAAAGTGTGCTCTCAAATACCTGCTGCAAATCTCAACGTCGGAGAGCTTGACGGCTTCGAAAAGAGGGCAGGGGCGCGTGGCCAGTACCAATTGGCTGGCATACGGGGCGCTTGCTGGGGAACTGTGTAGCCAAAAATGGGTCGGGTCCAGCCGCGTGACATGTCTGCAATAAATGTCTCTGCTGATTGCTACCCGGCAGTTCGCACTGGCGGTAAGCCCGTCTTTGTCTTGAAGACGTGGCGCTGCAATACGATGACATCTGTATTGTGCCACAGGCCTGCCGCACAGACCTGTTACTTCTGCCACAGTGGCAAACATCTGAGCAACCAAAATGACAAAGCCTTTGGCTTTAGTGGAAGTCAACTGCAAACAAGTTCGTCCATGAAAGTGGCCTGGGGAGGTCGCCGAAACAGACTGCAAAGAATCTCACAAACAATCACCAAATCATGGAACGGCTGGTCCTGGCCTCAAGCAGCCTCTCAACGACCAAGCTGATTTGCCTTCAAGGCGCGCCTGAAACATGCCAGGCAACCCTAAGAACCCAAGGGTCCACCCATTTGTGCTAGTGCAACCAGCATGTAGCTGAATTATGTCTTTGTTTCATTAATTCATCCATTCATCCATTCATTCATTCATCCATTCATTCATTCATTCATCCATCCATTCATCCATTGATCCATTCATTCATTCCATTCATTCCATTCATTCCATTCATTGCATGCATGCATGCATGCATTCATTCTTTCATTCATTTCATTCATTTCATGCATGCATGCATTCATTCATTCATTCATTCATTCATTCATTCATTCATTCATTCATTCATTCATTCATTCATTCATTCATTCATTTCATTCATTCATTCATTCATTCATTCATTCATTCATTCATTCATTCATTCATTCATTCATTCATTCATTCATTCATTCATTCATTCATTCATTCATTCATTCATTCATTTCATCCATTCATCCATTCATCCATTCATGCAGTCATTCATTCATTCATTCAATGCATTCATGCATTCATTCATTCATTCACTCATGCATTCATTCATTCATCCATCCATTCATTCATTCATTCATTCATTTCATTCATCCATTCATCCATTCATTCATTCATTCATTCCATTCCATTCCATTCCATTCCATTCCATTCCATTCCATTCCATTCCATTCATTCCATTCATTCCATTCATTGCATTCATTCCATTCATTCCATTCATTCCATTCATTCCATTCATTCCATTCATTGCATGCATGCATGCATGCATGCATGCATTCATTCATTCATTCATTCATTCATGCATGCATCCATCCCGTCGTTCAGTCAAGCTATATGCAAACTTTGATGCTGAACAAAGCTCGGATAAAAGTGTCAGGAGGCATGGTGCGCCTGCGTGCTTCTGTGCGTGGGTGCGTGGGTGCGTGCGTGCGTGGGTGCGAGTGCGGGTGCGCGTTCGGGCACGGGTGTGCGTGTGTGTGGAAATACGGAGACCGCTCAATAGTGGCCGAACAGGCATTGAAACCCACTGAGTCCAGTATGGTGACATTCTCAAAATGACCATCATGGTTAAGATTGAGGACCCCTCGACATGGACCCTCAAAAAACTGTCAGTCTCCGGATGTTGCGTGAAACATTTCCATGATTTGGAAGATCCAGGCGCTTTTTTTCGGGGCACTGACCCACAAGCAAAAAGAAGAGAGAGAGAGAGAGCTCACCGGCGAGGAGCTTTTCGAGCTTGGAGTCGATCAGGTCTTGGAGCTGGTTGACATGAGTCTGGGCCTCATGCGAATTTCCCGAAGGTGTTTCCAGCTCCCTGTGGTAACAAAGTGAAAGCCACCCTCAAGCCAAGAGGAAAATGGCTCTGGTTGCCTTATTCTATGCGAACTGGATTGATCTACTGGGCGTTCAACTTAGTAAGTAGGTTGTAACCCTGCTAAGGGGCTCAGCCCAGTTATCCGAAATATAGAAATGGTACCCCTTGCTGGGGTTACGCAGTAGATGGCACGAACTCATTTTTGTGGGCAAGTAAAGTTGATGACTCACCCCAAATGGGAGCGGGCATTGAATTCTACTCTCACCCAACTGCACCAGGCATTTTATTCGTCATCTATCGCATCTATCAGTTATCGACTTGCTCCCTTTGGATTTCTGAAAATCCCATCGGAGCAGCCCTCTAGGATCATGTCCTTAAAATGAAGCAAACTGCGAATTCAATCCCCCCATATTGTCTTGGTCACCCCCTTTACCTGACAAGAAAATTGTGCCAACTACCCAGGTGCACCCCCAGGTGAAAACCCTCATCTTAGGAATCTCCTTCTTGTGGGGTCCTGACTGGATCCCTTGTCTGGTGTCTGTTTGGGGGTCCACGACCCAAAGCCGGATACGGTGCCGAGACCGGTCTTTCGTCGTGTGGGAGAATTACCATACTTCCATGCGATCCACCTCACTTCAGTTCCCGGAAAACAGCCATCGGATCGGTTTTGCGAAACTGCCGTTTCGGTTTCCGCTGCGTTCGTGCATCGCGCGGGCAAGTGGAGTTGTCAATGTCCACAGCGCCCCCACCCACGAAAAACGGGCATGAATGGGGCCCATTCTTTATCAGGGGTGGGCATTTCCCTACTGAATTGTAAGTCACGGGCAAAGTGCCCGGTTTTTAAAAGGCGGGCGGTTCCGCAGCATTACAAGTAAAGGACAATGGATTGCAGGTCCCCGTCAATCTCAGTGGGCATCCGGTACTCACCAAAGGGTGTTGAGAAACAAAAGGCAGTGGCACATGAAAACCTAAAACCCAGTAGAACCCATGTCAAAGGGCTTTGTTACAGGAACATGTGCAGGAAATGGCCCCACAACACCCTAAATAAGCTGCTCTCCTATAGAATTTCCTGTAGCCCAACCCTTTGACCATGTAAACTCCACCAACCCAAAGCAACTTAAGTGGACTCCAAGTCGAGGTCGGGGCCGAGAAGTTGATGAAGACTCCCTGGTAGTTCTCCGGCGCCTGAGGTGCTCATAGCTTGGAGCATTGCCACAGGTTCCTTTTCTGGGTCCTCCAGTGAAGTTCGAATAAGGGTACCCAAGTTTTTCTGTCTATCTTAGAGGAACCTTCCCAACCAACCAAAGAAACGGCAAAAATTGGGCACCTGCTAGCTGGGAGACCTAGTTTTGGTCCCCGTGGAAAGCACCATCTTTCAAGTGGCGTGGTGCAATGAAACGAAAGCAGCAGAAGGTAGGGCCCCTTTGTTTCTTTTCAGGATTCTCCCAAGTCTGGTCTGTCTTGGTGTCTCAGATTCTTGGGCTTTAGAGCGAGAGCTGATTCCATGAGAATGCACTGCCCAGATTCGCACCCTGAGCCCAGTCTGGACCTGCAATCGCAAGGCCACACATGCGAGATTCTTGGGCTTTAGAGCGAGAGCTGATTCCATGAGAATGCACTGCCCAGATTCGCACCCTGAGCCCAGTTTGGACCTGCAATCGCAAGGCCACACATGCGATTAGGAGATTCTAAGTTGGCCTTGTTCGAAAACCCTTTCTGTCTCGAATTCCCGGCTGGACGAAAAGGATCCCAGAGGATGACAATTTTGCTGCAGCTCTTCAGCTTGTGCCCTTGGCCTTGCAGTCGCGTGGGAAGTCTACAGGAGCCACCTAGTCTGGGTCCTCCAGTAGAGAGGTTAGAATAAGGGTGCCCTTTTTCTGTAGTCTATTTTAGTAGGGGAACCCTCCCCCAAAAAAAGGGTAAAAGGGCACTGCTGGGGGACCTAGTAGTTGTGCTGTCTGCAGCTAAAACGACTTCTTTCATGCATTTCTTCAGCTTGGAACCCCTGATCTCACAACGGGCCATGTTCCTCCCTCCCCTTTTGGTGAGGTGAAGCGTGCCAAATGAATCCTCTGCCCGCATCGCCCGCCGTCTCGCAAAGCCCGCCTGCTTCTGCAACCAGAGGGAGATGTTCACACTCTTCCCGGTGCCGGTCGGCCTGGGAAAACGACGACTTTTGCAGACCAAAAGGCCTCTCTTGTCCTCGGTTGAGGTTGGGTTTGGGGAGCAAAACTTCTCAAATCTTAGCAGTTAAGCGGGGATTTCAACCACTAAACCGCAATAAGCAAAGATGTGAAATGCTTTCCAACAACAGCCATGTGTCACAGAAGAAGGATGAACCCTGGTGGGTGGTTCAATTTTGACCCCATACCCAAGTGGCCTCATCACAAGAAAGGGCGGGCTGCCCAAAAGATTCGGCATGTTGTGTGCTCGCAAAATGCCTCAGCGGGTATTCCCACTGGCCTTGAAAGCCCCTTTTGGCCAGCAAATAAAAAAAACTCCAATAATAAGGCATTTGGGAACTGGTTGCTTCTACATCTTCCTGGGTCTCAGCATGAGAAATGGAATGACCCCGAAAAGAGCCACCCGCTTCATTCCCCACACCTGTTCCCCTCATGCCCCGCTCCGAGGGGCCCGGGGCACAGCACGTGCTTGTCGTTCAGCACCAGGAGCTGAAAGATGTAGACCAACCGCACCTCGCAGAGGACTTTATCCCAGCGAGTGGAGTGAGTCGAGCGAGTTGAGTCAGTCGAGCGAGTTGAGTCAGTCGAGCGAGTTGAGTCAGTCGAGCGAGTTGAGTTAGTTGAGTTAGTCGAGTGAGTCGAGCGAGTTGAGTTCGTCGAGCGAGTCGAGTGAGTCGACATGAGTCGACCAAGCTTTATTCGAGCGAGTCGAGTCGAGTGAGGCGAGTGAGTCGACTGAGTGGATGTTGGACTGTTGGACCCCCCAAACAAGTCGCTGAGCTGCTTGAGGCGGAGAAAAGGAGACGAGTCGACTTAGACCCGGATGCGGAGAAGAGGAAACATGAACGAACGCACAAAGGGAAGGTGAGTCTGGCAATGACGGCTGAAGGGGAGAAGAGGCTGCTGGCACCATACGACGTCTCCATGCGCCAACTAACAAGCAAATCAAATCAATGGATCGCGAATACACACGTGAATGAAGATATGCATGTGTACATAAAACACATATACGTATCTCTATGCATATATGCATTTGTCAAAAGATCCGCAGTATGCCCAACAGAAGCAAGCCCAGGGAAACGCGGCAAACCTCGGTGCCGGATTGGCCAGGATTCAGATTAGCAGGTTTGCACCTCGGCTGGAGGGGTTTCAACGGAACATGTGTGCCTTTTGGGATCAGCCAAGGTCCCAAAGCCGCCATGTGGTCCATTTGGGGGAGGGCATGTCAGTCAGTGATGCCTGTCTGCCCGTTCTCTTCACGTTTGCCCAGTGGGAGGCCCCGATTGATGAATACACATAAACAGTTGGGCTGCATCTTCTTCTCTCCTTCTGAAAGCACGGCGGACGTGGTAAAACTCGCAAATTTGCGGAAACTAGTTTTGCAGGGCTGAAACCCACCAGAGGGTTCCTTCAGGAGAAAAACATCCCGGGACCCCCATCAAAGCTGCCTCTAAAAGGGCCCTTCCCAACTCAAACAAGGCCCCAGAAAGGCCGGCTTGGCCGCTTCGAACAAAATCCAGTGACGCAAGCAAACAAACCTTTAGGGCAGATGAACCACCCCTGGGTTGAAGCCTAGCTTCTCAAACCTGGAACCCTGCCAAAAGGCCTCAAAACCGGCTTGGCAAACCCACAGCTTTGTCCAGAGCCGTGGGAAATGGAATCCACTTCTGTGATACAACAATAATTTGGCTTTCCAATGAACCGCCAGGTCAACCAGGGCCAAACCAACCAACCAAAAAGAACAAACCCGCAAACCAAAAAACCACCCAAAAGCCAACCAAAAGCCAACCAAAAACCAACCAACAACCAACCAAAAACCAACCAAAAACCAACCAAAAACCAACCAAAAGCCACCCAGAAACCACGCAAAAACCAACCAAAAGCCAACCAAAAAGCAACCAAAAGCCAACCAAAAAGCAACCACCCCCCAAGAAAAAACACCAACTACTACCTATTTTTCCGCCAAACCAACCCACAAAGGACACCCTGGAGGCCCACCACCCCTGGCGAAAAAAAAATGGCAACGAGGAGCCGAGTCCACGGAGGGTACCACGATCTCCTCGTACTTGGAAGCTCGCGGCACCTGGGGTCGGACGTCTGGCGGTCGGTTGTTTGGTTTAAGGGAACCAGAAGAACCTGGGCCCGTTTTCAGACTTTGCCTGGTGAGTGGAGAACAAAGGGACCCCCAAAAAAGCAAAAAAAAAAGGGGAGCTAATTCTGGGGAAGCTTTTGGTGGCCAAATTTAACTGAGCTGTCCTCAGATCCCCCGCTAAAAGTGAAAATCACTGTTGGTGGGTTAAATTCGGAAACTGCCACTAAACACTAAAAGGCTAAAAAGCTAAGGAACCGGATGGCTGGGAGCCACCGAGGAACGAACGAGCGAACGAACTCCGGTTCTCTGAGCACTGAGTGCGCGACCTTTACGGAGTTTGGGGGTGGCCGACTACAAAAGCACAGCAACATCTATAAGAACCAGACATAAAAAGGGTAACCTCCATAGGTGGCCTTTTGGAGAAAATGGATGAGTTTCCCTGGTAAACGGATGAAACCCCATCTAAACCAGTGCCATCGGTATTCCCCTAAAAAGGAACCAGAGGAACCGGAAATAAAGGGTAACCTGTGTGGGAAAAAGAAGGATAAAGGACACACCGAGCAAACGATTCCAGGCCAACTGATTGAAAGCCCCCGGCAAAAACACACACCATACCCTTCTGGACCCCATTGCCATGACTCCTTCAATGCTTCAAGCCTGCTACGCTTCTTCTGAAAGAATGACACTCAAACTCAGACCAGGGTGCCTATGAATCGCAGGAGTGCCTCAGGCAAATACGGTGTTGTTGACCCCATATTCATCGACCAACCAGTTTATTTTGATAGGGGGGTGGTGCTGGCCCTCCAAAAGTGGCCTGAATCCAACCGTTAAACCCAGGTGAAACACCCACTATTGATAAACTGGTGTTGATTAACATGGGGTCAACATTCACCTTTTGGACCCTGGGATCATGACTCAACATATACCAACAGGGGAACCAACAGGGTCAAGTTTGGGGTCGACGTCAAAGCTGCGTTTGGGCATCTAGTTGCTTTCCTGTATTGCGGATGTGCGTCTTCCCCGGGAACACCCCCTCCGACTCTCCCATCCACCACATCCTGGTTGGTTTGTGTATATCATGGTTGCCCTTTGCAGGTTCGGAGTCGCCAGTCGTGCTGCTCAGTCAAACCCAACAAACACATGTTTTCCAAACCTGGCTCTCCCCCGCTCTCCCCCAAATACACCAGGTGAATTTGGGCACCACGTGGCCCACCAAAGAAGCCTTTTGGACACAAATGGTCCAAACCAGCCCCCCACGGGCGCCATGGCAACGTGGATCGGGGGCACCCATAAAAGCGTATCGCAAACTTGGGAACGAAGGAACCGGCATCAACGAGGGGCATGTGTCCACTCTTCGGGGTGTATGTCAAAAGGGATTCCCCTCCCTCCTCCCGCAAACAAACAACTAATGATTGTCTAGGTCCTCCAGTAGAGAGGATAGTAGTAGGGGAACCCTCCCAACCAAAAAAGAAACGGTAAAAAGGGCACCTAGCTGGGGCACCTGGTTGTGCTTCCCTTTAAAACCACCCTCACCAGCGGCATTCCAAAACTCCCCATACGCCAAAAAAAAAGATCCCAAGACCTGCTTTTCCGACGTGCCTCGAAGGTAGGGATGGTGGTCATCCACGGCACAAACTGCCGCTTCTCCTGGCGGCGATTCCCATGAAGCGGGTTCTTGGTTCTTTTCTGGGGTTCTGGGGTTCTGGGGATGGTGGATGGTACCTCTTTTGGTCCACTGTTGGTTTCACCCCATTCTGTGTTTGTATTATCCTTGGCCTGGCACAACGTTGAGGTGGCACCCCCCATGCGTGGCCAGGTTGGTTCTTTCATCTGGGGCCCTGCGATGGTCGGTGGTCAACATCCCGAAGGGACACGGCCATGCGGTTCCCAAGCCATGGCAATGACTTGCGCTCCCCCTTTGGCCCACTGCTCTGGGAGCTGTTGCTCACAGAAGTCACCCAGAGCTTCAGCCCGAACCAGCACCCCAGCACCCCAGAATCCCAGAATCCCAAATCCCCACAACCCCAGAAACCCCGAACCCCAGACCTCAAAAAGCCAGAAACAGCAAAGATATTTCGGGCGAAGGATTATCACCAGGAAGTCGTTGGATGAATCCAATCACTTCGTCCTGGTCGTAGAAGTAGTCGTAGAGATTCTCCCCTGGCTCCAAACCTGGGAACTCCACGTTCTCTTGCAAGGGCGGCGCCTGAAGCGCTGAGCGCCGCTGACGCGCGGCGCGCTTCAGAAGCGCGAGCCCAAGCCCTGGGAGTTTGGAGGATCAGATGGCTGACGCGAGTTTTTGAAATTTTGGCCGAGTCGAATTGCGAAAGTGCATCTCGGTTGGGAGAATGTGACCCGTCCGTGCTGCTCACTTGGGACTGAAAGGCCGGATTATTCAACTGGGCTGTCCTCAAATCCCCTGCGAACAGTTTAACTTTTAGTGGCTTAAATGAATGGACAACCTCCCCCCCACTACACCAACTAAAATCAACTTTCAATAAAAAAAAGGTAACTAACTAGAAACAACTTTTCTTCTACAGAAAGCAAAAGACGAAGGAACCCGAAGGATTCGCCGGTTCAACCTGTTCCAGCGTGCCAAGTCCCACAAGAGGCGCGGGTGTTCCGACCCTCCGACGGCTCGTCGACTGGTTCGTATCTGAGGCGTGGGCTGTGAGGAAGGCCTTGGCCAAGAGCTCTTCCACCGGCCCCCGGAGGTCTTCGTTGACCGTGGCCCAGACCTCTGCGGGTGGGGGAAGGGGGGGGGAAGGGGCGGGGGGGAAGGTTTGGGCTGGGGGGAAGGGGAGGAAGGGGAGCAAGGGAAGGTTTGGGCCGGGTGCAAAGGGGGGGCAGTGCCGGGCGGGGGGTTGTTGCGTTGCAGCCGCAGTTGTTGAGACCAATTTGTTCTACAAAAGCCACATAGACTCTGGCCCGACAGTTGGGATATCCAGAGACAGAAGCTTATGGTTTATTGCATCAAGGACACTTCTCAGGCAGGAGTACGCATCCAAGTGGTGCGTGGATAAGCCCTGCTTGCTCCAAATGGAGGCCATGGCACCTCTTGATTCGCCCCATGTATGTGGTGTGGTTTTGGCCCAACTACTGGTAGAAAGTCTTGCATATGGAATGGACACACAACTGGATGGCGGCAGCGGGAACGCGCACTCTCATTACAAAACGAAGGTTAAGCCACCGGATTTTGTCCGCATCCAACCAAAGATAGCAATTAACCAAAGTTGACCCCACTGCACACAGTGTCTGTTTTCATTATGGTCACTTCAGTGCTAAAGGCTGCAAGTTGGGTGTTAAATAATGAATGCCATCCGACCAAAGATAGCAGCCACAAGTGGACACCCTGCGTTTCCTCCCTCCATCCCTCCCTCCCTCCCTCCCTCCCTCCCTCCCTCCCTCCACAGTTGACCCCACTGCCCCGTCATGTTTTTCTCTGCCAGGCCTCGGCTTCGACCGCCCCTCCCTCCCCGGATCCCCGGGCTGCCCGGCGAGGTCGCTGAAGCCCTTGCGGCTCTTGGAGTCGCAGGTGGCGCCCACGGACCAGACCAGGCAGAAGAAGAAGAGGGGCACCAGGTTCGGCACCTGAAGCGGATCCAGGGGTCACATGGGTCACGAAACAAACCGAAGAAGTTGAAGAATTTGCGGATTTCCTCAAAAAACAACGAAGAAGTGGATGAATTTGCGGATTTCCCTAAAAAACACCGAAGAAGTTGATTAATTTGCAGGTGGGTTGCCACGGTTTCCGAGGCAAGTTTGCCTTGAAGGGGACCGCCAAGCGAGGCCGGGGGGGGGGGGGGGGGTGTCCGAGCTGTATAAACCATAAATTGAATGTTTTCAAAAGGCTTCGTAGGTTTGACCATTTCCGAGGGGGTCAAAATCCACGGCGATTGTTTCGACGATTGTTTCGACGATTCTTTTACCAAAACAATTGTCGCAACAATTGTTTGAGAATACACGGGCACGCAAAACAATTGCTGCAACAAATGTTTGACAAAACGCGGGCGCGCGAAACAATTGTTGCAACAAATGTTTGACAAAACACGGTAAGCAAAACAGTTGTCGCAGCAATTGTTTGACAAACACGGATGTGCAAAACAATTGTCGCAACAGTTGTTTGACAAAACACGGGTGTGCAAAACAATTGCTGCAACAATTGTCTGAAACACGGGCATGCAAAACAGTTGTTGCGGCAATTGTTTGACAATTGCTTTATTATACGACGCGGACATGCAACACAATTGTAAGCAATCCTTGCGCTAGTGCGCTGCAAGAAAAAAGCATCGACGCTGGGGCTGAGGTTGGGGGTGGCTGAGCTACGCCGCTTTGTCAGCTCGCGCCGCAGCTGCTGTTTTGGACTCCAAAGGCACTTGTTGGCTGCCAAGGCTCTGTGGCCTGGCTAGGCTAACTGAGGCTAACTGCATCTCTGTCCCGGGGTCGGGTGGCGTAGATGTTGCCGACTAGGTCAGAGACCGGCTCACGGCATAGGCCTGCCTCCTTGCACAACGCGGAGGGCTGCCAAGGTGGCATGGACATCCGCCTGCGTGACTGGGGCGCTGGGCTCGCGAAGGACGAAGGCTGCAAGCGCTGCCTGCCAAATGGCCAGCAGCACTGGTAGGGACATCGCGTTGCCAGCGAGGTCCGTCATGAGGCTTTCTGTGAGCCACTTGCGCTGCGATTGGCCATGCGAAGCGTCGATCTCGTGGCGCAACTCGGCTAAAAGCCTGCGGGCTGGAAAACCTTGCATGATAAGCGCCTCCTGGCCCAAAAGCACCCGAGCAGGCCTGGTAAGCTCCACAAACAAAAGCTGCCCGGGCAACATCGTTGGGGCCACGTGCTTGCCGGAATCTGGGCTCCAGCTTTGCGAGTGGACTCGGCCAACTGACTGGCTGAGATTCCGAAACCCCGCCGAAGGCGCCTGATGCCTGCTCAGCAGCAATGAGTCTTTTTCTCGGTCTGTGAGGGTGTCAAACCAGTCGTTGCAGGCAAGGTCCGCAGGAACAGGCTGGCCCCACCGCACGCCAGCGCTCTCTGAGTAGCGCATGTGCTGCTCAATCCACGCGCTCCCTGCACTGTTGCTCTGAGAGCGGCCCGCGCTCTTCAGGGCCTTGTCTTGCCGCGCAATGAGGAACTGCTTGACATCCTCATCGTCCCAGGGCAAGAGAACCTTGCTTGCACACGGGGCTGAGCGCACGCACGACGCGACGCAGGAGCGAAGCGAGTCAAAACAAGCCTCCAGCGGCCGGCTGCTGAAACTAAAGACGCAGTTCGTGACCTTGACAAACACGACGTAGAGTCGGCGGCGCCTCGCGGGCAAGCCAAACTGGTTGGAGTCCACAAGAAGCTTCTGGCCAGAATACCCTGTGTTCGCCATGGTCTCCATGAGGTGCTGGAGGTTGTTCTGCTGGGACTGCGGGATGGCGTCGTCGATTGAGTCCACGTTCTCGTAGACGATCATGCTGGGGCCGTGCTGCCTCACATATGCCACGAACCCTTGAAACGTTTGGGCCGAGCCCCCTCGGCTGCTGACTTGGTCTAAGACCAACTTGGTGTTGTCTTTCGAGGGGTTTGCCCTGCTTAAGTCCTTGCAAGACGTTCCAACAACAAAGATGTCCACCCGGGGAATGGGGCAGTCTTTGTCATGCACCACGCAGTGCCCGGCTGCCTCACCAAGCTGCCCGATGTCTGCGAAGATGCAAGCATCACCGGCCCACCAATCTGGGTCGGAGTCCAGGTCAGCGCCTGGCAGCCCCATTGTGGTGGCATCGGAGCGGGACGTCTCCCCGTCAGAGCAACCCGCATCTGGCTCAAAGTCATCAAGCCCTGCCCAGCTTGCCTTGCCGGCTGACAAGACTGCAGAGATCCATCGCTGCTTGTCTTTATTTGCCTCGCATGAGAAGACATGCTGCAGCGATGTCTTGGCGCGCGCACGGCCAAGGGCAGCGTTGATGGCCATCGCAACGTAAAAGGCGCCCTCAGTACCTGAGCACGCAGATGCCCAGGTCAAAGTTACCTTGTCCGGCCTCGGCGCGCTCTCTTGCTGCAAGACTTGGGCAAAGCCCGCAAGGTTCTCCCGAGCCAGCTGTGGCAACAAAGTGCCATCTACCAGGCCTTCTGCATCCAACACCCGGCTGAAAGCCGCAGCCTGCTGGTCTATGTTCAACGACTCGGACTTCTGCTGCTTCAAGGTGCGGGCCCGTTTGGGTGCCTGAGCTTCAGGCAGCTCAGCCATGAAAGCTACCGGCCCGCCCTACTAGACCGACAAAGCCTGAAGACTAAGACTACAGAGAACGCGCGAGCCACACCTGAAGCAAAGCAGCGGAACAAAGTGCGTGGGTTACAAACTTGCGCAGAAGCCAACAAACCAACCGTAAGGAGACGCCCTCTCACCCTTAGCGGTTTCACCGTCAAACAAAACCCTGGGCTGCCCCAAGCCCTAGAAAGCCCGAACCTTGCGCACCTTGGGCGTATGCGTTGTTGGGACCCCAAAACTGCCACTACCCAGCGTTGAGACCCAAGCCTAGCTAGCCAAGCACGCAGCGGCCGACTACCGTTTTGCACTGCCTGCGCACTCTTTCAGGAACTCTAGGGCTACGCTACTGGGCGCGTCAGAAGTAGAACAGGGCGTGACCACGGCTTAGCCGGCTTTCCTCTTCCTGGCGGCACCTGCCTTGGCCGTGGCCTTTGCCTTGGCCTTGGCCTTGGCCTCTGCCTTGGACTTGGGGCCGGCGGTGGCTGCTGCCACAGGCGCCTTGTCAGCGGCTGTCTCCTCCGGGTCTCCTTTGCGTTCCTTGGCTTGTTTCTTCTTGTCTGTCTTGCCCTCCTCCTTGTCCTTCTTTTTTTTCTTGTCTTTGTCGACCGCGTCCTTCTTCTCCTTGTCTGCGTCCTTCTTGCGCTTCTTGTCCTTCTTTTCCTTCTTCTCCTTTTTATTCTTCTGCTCCGCTTTTTCGTCGCCACTGTTCTTGCACTCCTCTGCCGCTGCCTTTTCTGAAGCTGCCGCTGCGACCGCTCCCTCAGGCGCTGGCAGGCCGCTGCATGCGCCGCCAGGCTTTTGCTTGCTGCCTGGTTCCTTCTCAAAGCCGGCTGCGACGTCAGTCTTGGCCTTCTTCTTTGCCGGGCCTTTGGTGCCTTGGTCCTGGGTGTGCAGAGCTGCTGCTACTTCTGCGGCAGCGCTCTTAGCAAACTCCAGCAACGGGGCGGTAGTGTCTCGCGTGTGTTGGTTGAAGCCTTCCTTTTCAGCCTCGAAAGCAAGAAGGCGGGCCTCCAAAGACTCGGCCACAGGCCTCAGCTCCTTGAGCAATGCCTTGCCGTCGTCAGAAGTGGTGCCAAGGATCGGGTTGCGCAGCAGACACAGGCCTGCAATCAGGGTGACGTGGAAACCTGCAATTCTTGCTGTAAGGCTGCAGTTGTCCGAAAATTCCACGGGCAAGCCTTCCAGCTCCAGAACGTTCACAGGCCCTTGCGCCGCTTGCTTGCCAAACACAACAGGGTCCAAGACCTTCAAGATATCCTGCGGCACGCGCAACTGCGACAGCTCGGCCTCCATGGCGGTCGACTGTTTTGCCAGTTCCGCTACGTGCTTCACACCGTGGGCTCTGTAGGCTGCTTCCTCAGTGAGGCTTGGTGTTGGCAGGCTGCCCAGCAACTTGTCCAAGTTGCATTTTGCGATCTTCAAGGTTTTGGCGGCACTCTGCGCCTTTTTGGTGAGGAGCTCCCTGTGCAAAGTTAGCCGCTGCTGGAAATGCTGAATTGCCTCTTCCGAAGCAATTCTCGTCTTCTCCAAGTCCTGCTTGAAGGCGGGGTCGGCGGCGCTGTCCTCCGCTTCCTTGACAGCAACGCAAAGCTTCTCAGACAAGCAGCAGAGTTTCTTGGCGAAGCCTCTCAACTCGTCGTTGGTCTTCTGGCCAGCCCCGTGCGGGCCATGCTTTGCCACCTGCGCAAGAAGAGTCAGCAAACAAACGCGACAAAGCCCCTACAGCCAATGAAACTTGACCGTTGCCGCAAACAAGAGAGTCACACCCGCCCGGAAGGCACCAACTGTTTTTTCACGACGAAGTGAACAATGTGCAATAAAGCTCTAACGGTCAAAGGCATGGACCGAACGGCTGTCCCCCGCCTCCAAAAACGCCGTCACCAAGTCGCGCAGTTTGTGGGTCTTTGGGACCCGGCTGAGGAGCTCTGCCGCCATGTTGCTGGACAGCCCAGCGCCAAGTAAGCTCTGCACACACTGCGAAACCACCGGGGCAACGCTCTCCAAGCCAACAGAGAACAAACTGGCAAGCTCTGCCCTGACTGGCTGCAGCAGAAGCTTCTCCGTTTTCTCCAACAGCCCTGAGGCACTGACCCACCTCTCCAGTTTTGGCATCATCTCAGTGGACCAGGCATGCAAGGCCGGAGCCTCCACGGCAATGGGCGGCACATGCTGGAACGAGGGCTGCCTGTGTAGGGAAAAACGGGACACCTCCACCAGAATCTTGGAAAGGGCGCGGTACTCGTCCCGCCATGGCAAATCACCTGGTACGAACGCCCAAGCCGGATGCTCCACACAGGACGTGGCTCGAAGCCCGTTCTCCACGTCATCCAAA